TCCTCTTTAACAGTGTTCAACAGTGATGTGACTGAAATTTCAGGTGCGTTGTCATTAACGTCTAATACTTCAACCAGTAATTTAGCATGTGAACTCATAGGCGAGGAAGCTCCATCACTGGCTTGTACTCGAAGTTCAAAAGCATTATTTTCTTCAAAATCAATATTCCTTTTATTTGTTACAGTCCCTGTTTGTTCATCTATAGAAAACACATCTGTTTGTTTCCCTTCGTCTATTTCCATAAAATAATATGATATTTGCCCATTTTTTCCATCATCTAAATCAGTCGCATTCAGGGTGATTATTGAAGTCCCAATATTCACATTCTCATGTATGCTGACTTTATACAGCATTTGACTAAAGACAGGAGGATTATCATTAATGTCTAAGACATTTACTATAATGGTCATACTTCCAGATTTAGCAGGTGTTCCTGCATCAAGTGCAATTAGTATAAGTTTGATCACAGATTGTTTTTCTCTGTCTAAAACTTTTTGAAGCACCAATTCGACTGTTATGCTACCCCCTTTAAGTGTATTTAGAGAGAAATGTTCATTTTGACTCAGTTTGTAGGTATTTATAGAGTTTTTTCCAACGTCTCCATCGTGAGCTCGTTTCAGCAGAAATTTTGTTCCTACCGCTGTGCTCTCGGTAATATTAATTGTCTGGGATGTGCTGAGAAATGTGGGTGAATTGTCATTCACATCCAAAACATTTATTTCTATACGGTACAGTTTAAGTGGATTATTAATAACAGCTTCTGCAATTAGTGAACATTTGGCGTCGTTACCGCAAAGCTCCTCTCGATCTATTCTCTCGTTAACATAGAGGGCTCCAGTTTTTAGATTTACCTCGAAATATTTTTTCTTCGATCCAGCAACGATCTGAAACATGCGGGGCTCCAAATCCTGGACATTGATGTTCAGATCTTTCGCGACATTTCCGACAACAGTCCCCAGATTCACCTCCTCTGAGACGGAGTAAGAGAGCTGCCCAGAAACCGTTTCAGAGTAACAATCCAGCAGCACGAAGACGAGATATATCCACACACAGCTCGATCTGCCGGATCCAGTCA